ATGCCAACGGGCTGGCCAGGCTGCCAAGAGACCACACAGGTTAACAGACATTGCCAAAAATGTTACTCTGGCTCAAACAGCAGCATCCAAGTACTTCAGAAAGGATGTCCTCAGAACTAGGACAAGAGACAGGGCTGGCTCCCAGGTCCTGCCTGCCCTAAACAACCCTTTGGGGGGACCAGCACCTCGACACCCAAACAGTGCAGGGCATGGGCTCCCAGGGCCCCCAGGCCCAGCAGTCAAGGTTCTGTGGATCCCACCAGCACTGCCGAGAAGGAAAAGAGATCCTGAGTGTGCCCTGCCTGCCCACACCAACACCAGCTGCAGGACTAGGCAAACAAAAGCTCTCAATTATGTTCTTTGGCTTCTTTCCATCTCATCTCCACGTTAAACCCTGTGTTCCCAAATCCTTCCTTGAGGTCCTTTTCCCTGTGCCAGCTCCTGCTCCCTTACTAGTGAAGGCAAGCAGGGAACCTTGGCCAGATCCATCCCCTCAGGCAGCAGCCAGCCCGTGGCACTGCCCTGTTAAGTGTCACTCCCTGTCCTCCCTGGCAGGGAGCAGCCTGTCCCCCTCCTCCCAGCGCTGCCCCACGAGGCACCTCAGTGCCAGGAGCTGAGGTCAACTCCCAGGAGTGGGGCCACCAGAGAGGCCACGAGAGGCTCTGTCACTTCTGCAGCCCTGAGCTGGAGAGCAGCCCCCAGCAGGACCCTGGAGCTGCCTGCACCCAGCTCTGCTGAGTTAGGGACCCCTGCTCCAGCTCCTGCCCTGCCCTTTGCTGTGTCCCCACCTCCGTGCCCTCCTGAGCAGTGATTCTGGGCTCTTCTGCATCCCTGCTGCAAGTGCCTGGTCACTGTGCTGCTGCTGGGTGTGTCCTTCGTGGGCAGCAAGCCCCCCCACCCAGACAGATGGGCTGCTCTGCCCAGGCCCATGTCAGAAACACCAGGAATCAGAGAACCCATGTTTCTCAAAGCCAGCTGGATTTTTCTCCAAGGACAATGGGCAGCAGTTCCAGAACCTCATTCCTGAGTCCAAGTATGAACAGGGAAATACTTCACAGCCCTTTCCCACTGCTCAGCCCTTCCAGTACTTCATACTCTATTTTTAGAAGTGCTCTTGGTCATGGCAGGGAGATGTGCAAACACCAGGGCAAAGATGACTGCAGTGGGTCGGTGGTTGAGCCACAGAAGACTCAAGGAACAGAAATTAACTTGGGCCCTCCCCTGGAGGAGCACAGAGGAGACCTCTCTGCCTCAGAGTACGGCAGAGTTTTGCCACAGGGACACAAATGGGGACACTGAAGTTGGCTCTGAGCTGTGAAAGGTGCCCCGTTTTGCTCAATGGAAAAGGCCTGGAGCACAGAAATTCCCTTTTGCCTGCACCTGTGGCAAACCCTAAGGAGGACAGGGCATTAGACAGGGACTGAGCAGGTACAGGGAGGGAGGACAGAGGGAGGAAGGTCCAGAAGGACACGGCCCATCATTACTGCTGACACTGCTACAACCCAGGCAATCAATCAATATTCCTTGCTTAGAAAGGCCTCCCAGTGAGCTGCAGTCCCTGTCAGCTGCCTCACTTCCCTCCAACAGCTCTGGTTTCCCATCAGAGCCCCCCAGGTCCCTCCAGCCCCAGAAGCACAGCACAACCTGAGCCAGACCCAAGGGTCTGGACACAAAATTTGGCCTCAGGGCAGGGACCAAGCTGGTCTGAGCTATGGATGGAGGCTCCAAAAGCTCTTTCCAAAAGCTTCTCCAGGGCTGCAGTGTGAGACTGAAGCCAGGCTAACCCAGCTGGGCAGTGACTGGGGATGTGGGGACACAGCTGGGGTCCCAGACTGCCCTGTTCACGCTTCCCACCTGGTTGATGTGAACAGAAGGAATGGAGGCTGCAGAGACAGACGAATGGCTGGGTGAGTTGGGCAGGGACTTGCAGGGACCAATGGAAAGCTGCTGCTTCTTCCGTAGAGCCACCACCTTCTGAGCCACTGGAGGAAGGGAGAAAGGGACAGGTCAGAGCCCAGGAACCAACCTTCTCCACCCATGGATCGCTGGAGGGCTCCAGTGAGAGCCAGGCCCTCTGTCTGACTGACGTCAGCATCTGGGGCTCAACCTGCACCACCCCAGACTAACAGGGAGGGTTTCTGCAGAACACCCAACCCCACAACCCCTGTCCCTGCTGCTGCCACCAGCTCAGCTGCAAGGACAGCAGGATGGGCTTCCCCTCCTGGTCCCCAAAGGCCACCTGCTCTCTTGGGTATCACACAGAGCAGAGACTTGATGTGGATACCGAGGAGCCACACAGAACCCTGGGCTGCTGCAGAAGAATCCCTGGGCAGCCAGAGTCACCTCAGTCATCCCTCACAGCAGCTGCAGGAGCCAGTTACCAAAGTGAATAGCCTGGGCAATGCCACCTTCACCAGCTTGGGCCCTTGTGACACTCATGGCGTCCAGCTCATAGAATCATAGAATGGGTTGGAAGGGACCTTGAAGATCATCCAGTTCCAATCCCCCTGCATTGTCAGGGACACCTCCCACCAGCCCAGGCTGCTCCAAGCCCCATCCAACATGCCCTTCAACACTGCCAGGGATGGGGCAGCCACAGCTTCTCTGGGCAGCCTGGGCCAGGGTCTCATCACCCTCACACTAAATTTCTTCCTAATGTCCAACCTAAATCTCCAGTCTTCCAGTTTTAATCCATTAGGAGGAACAACTCTCCCAGCTCCTGTGATCCCACTGCCCTGATGCCAACAGCCAAAAATTGCATTTCAACCTTCCCAATCTCTTGCCTTGTCTGAAAAAAAACCATCTTGACCAACGAACATGACAGCAAACAAGCTGGGCTGTTGGGAATTCAGGAGAACACTTCCCCGTTCCTCACTTCCTGTTGCACACTGGCCAGATGCCCCCATCACAGAGGAGGAACCTTTCAGGTGAACATGACCAAAGGCACTGGGCACAACCCAGGTCCAACCCAGCACCCTGACATCCTGCACCCTTGCCATGAAGGGCCTGCCACATCCTCTTTCCAGGAAGATAGAAGATGCTGCACTATGCCTGTGGTGAGACTGAACCCATCTGGAAAAGCTGAGGTGCCAGCAGCACCTGCCAAGTCTGCCACCTCATGCTGCAGTGTCAGGTCCCCTCTAGGGACAGATAAAGGCCTGTTGGGCCACCACTGCCACCTGCTCCCCTGACAGAGCTGGGAGCCTGTCATTAGTCTCATAAATAGCAGGAACCCCCGCTGCACACACCAAACTAACCAAATTAACCTGCTCTCCTCCCCTCCATCCTCTGCTCTAGCTTCATCCACCTGCACTGCACAGACCAGGTCTGCTCCACACACACCAGGCACGTTGGGAGCTCAGGCACCCCTGGACCCCAGGAAAGGCAGCATGAGGGGCTGAGACACTGCAGGGGTGTCCTCTGCTGACCCCCAGGACCCTGCTCTGGCTCCCAAGAGCTTTAACCCAAGCAGGTCACAACACACCCTGGACACACTGTCTTCATGGGGAAAAGCCTGGGAGGAGATGTGGAAACGGGCAGGTCTGACACAGGGGAGGTGCAAACACCCACAGGAGGGGAAGTGAGGGGAGGAAGGAAGGAAGGACTGGAGGATGACCCACAGAGGACAGGATGGCTCCCCAGAGCTTCACTGGAGCAGGCACAATCATGGCAGGAGGTTTCTCATTATCCAGAATACAAACAGGTCCAATTTTAGAGGCAGAGGCAAGGAGAGAATGGTCTCTGGAAACAAGGAGGTTGAGAAGGCCACCAGTGGGAGAAGGAGAGGGGGCCAAAGATTCAGAAACACTCGTCAGCAAGTGCTGTCCTGGGCAAAGAGCCTGGCAAAGGTTCTGCCTTGTCACTCACACCTTGGTGGTAACAACAGAATTAATCATGAGGCCATCAGGACCACACCAGTGGTGACATGACCTCACCAACCCTCACTGAGGCACCTTTGCTCTTCTGCTCGCTGGGCAGAGGCTCCTCCACTTCTTTAGCATCAGCCAGACCTTTTCAAGGACAATTCCTGCCATCCTCTAAGGCCAGCATCTGGGATCATCTCTTATCCCAATGTCTCTGGTGGCCAGAGGCAGCTCTGTGATGGCCAACAAGCCCTGCCCTGGCCACAGACCCTCTGCCTAGGTACATCCCTTGGTGTTTGTTTGCCCAGTGTCACCTACAGTGCTCCTGTGCCCACCAGCACGTGGGCACCACACAGTGCTTCAAAGCACAACACAGCCCTCTGCCCTGGACCTCTGGAGAAATCCCTCTACAGACACCACCAGGCATGCTCAGCTAGGGAGGAGTACCTGGCCAGAGGGGAGGTACATGTCCCCAGTGACACACCAAGAACCAAGAGAACCACAACTGCTCCTCACACCACCAGGACTTGCAGCCTCCACCAGATCCCAGAACAGATGCATCAGGACCCACCAGTGATCACTGGGAGAAGCTGCCTGCCCACACTGAAAATGCCTCATCCTGTCAAGTCAGCTCCAACTGAAACACAGTCCTGGAAGTCCCTGAATAGTTCTAAAACAGCAGTGAGGTGGGCTCAGCTCTCCTCAGCTCCTCACCAGCCCTTCCTGCCCCGTTCTCTCCCTCTGCACAGGAGCTCAGGAGCAGCTCCGTGGCCCCGCAGCCGAGCAGCCAGGTGAGAGCTCCGAGGACCTGAGATCCCCTCCACATCTCCTAGGAGATGGTGGGTCCCTCAGCTCCATTTACAGCTCCCAGTGATCACCCTGCCTTCTCCAGAGCTCCAAGCAGCTCACTTGGCAAGAGCACCAACGTGGCAAACCCAGACCCGCGAGGATGCCTGGC